ACGCTGATGCCATCCGACTCCAGCAATGCTTCGCAGACAACGATGATCAAAGACTTGAAGGCGCTTCCGATCTTCAGACCGAAGTGGCCAAGTCTCACTACCATACAGCAGAACGGCCCTCACTGTGTCCTTGTATACACAGCCTTTCAGACAGAGCGAAACTCCCTTCTCTCGGAAAAGATGCTGCAGGTTCAAGAAGGCAAATCTGGCCTTTGCAACGCTTGAGCTGACGTCAGTTTCTATGCGCCCATCATTGCTGATGCAGCTGCCAAGATAAGTGAATTGATCAACCCCCTCGAGTTTCTCGTTAGCAAGCGTCAAGGGGTTATCAAGTGGCTGGTGATCCTGCTGCAATACTTTGAAGGTGCGAAGTACGTACCAAAAAATGGGATCACTCTGGATAGGCTATCCAGGGTTGATTGTGCCGCCGCAACATCGTCGAAAAGCAAGACGATATCGTCCGCATAATCAAGGTCAACTAACCTTTCACCAGGCAGCACTTCAACGCCTGCATCTTGAGATTCCGCAAGAGAACACTCCATGATAGAATCCACGACGAAATCGAACAACAACGGGGAAATCGCACAACCATGACGAGCGCCACTTGTGGTCAGAACGCTATCCGATAGGACACCATAGACCCTGACGCGGCCTGTAATGTTCGAGTATAGAGCACGAAGGATGTTTACATATTTCGTGGGAACACCTTTCCGCGCAAGTATTTGGGACAGAATGCATCGATCGACTGAATCGAACGCATTCTTGAAATCAAGGAATACAACTATTGTCAGTCTGCGGTACGCGTGGCGCTGCTCTAGCAGCTGTCGCAAAGGGAATATATGGTCTGTACAGCCACGTCCGAGATTCTTGTTCCACAGTGAGTCGACGAACGAGAATCGACGCCAATAGTTTTTTTCACAACTTTCGTTAGTCTTATACCCCTGTGGTTAGAACAGTCAGTGCGACTGCCGTTTTTGTATATTGCCACTATAATCGGTTCGTTCCAATCAGCCGGGACACCGTTTTCCTCCCAGATACGTACGAATAAGGAGATCAGTGCTTTGCGGAGGACCTCACCTTCGTCCTTAACTATTGCAGGTCGGAGGGAATCTGAGCCAGCTTCACGAAAACGATGGAGGGCTGTAATCGCGTTTCGGACCTCGGCCCTGTATATACGTTAACAGTATCAGAACGCTGTATGCGCATAGTTCCATAACATTGGGGGCTTATGACAAGCTGTCGTCGCCACTCATTGTATCTGGCGGTGCATCCTAAAGTATCGCACCCGTGCCTTGTAATCCGAGGGAGCGGGTTCGAGCCCGCGTAGGGTACCGGGTGTTCCTCACGGTATCCTTAGCCCATGCACGATTGTAGTGGGTTGCGCGGCAGCGAAGCGTCGGTACTGCGTACCGGCGTAGTGCTGACACCTAAGGCAGGATGAGGCCGCTGTCACCTTTTTAACTTGACCATTGACGAAGTCATGGAAAGTGTGGGTCTGCTTCCAGGATCTCTTGATCCGACTACTTGAGTCAGAGTACGTGGGTGATATTGCTTTAACCTGTGCCAGCTCACAATATTGCCAAACAGCACTGGACCTTGCTTTGCGCCTTACAAATGCCAAACTTTTCTTCAAGGTTGGCAGGAATCACCACTTGAACTGACCGTCAGTAGGGATCAACTTGGAGTCATTCAAAAACTCAACTACCTGTGAGTCGATATCGGTGCCTGTGGATTAGAAGAAGATTACAGCAAAAGTTAGAGACGCTTTTGCTAGTATTTTCCACTTACGTCGGCACGAGATAACACTTCCGGGATTGCGGAGGTTGCAATAGTGTCGTCCGCTGGACATTAATGTGCAATTGTGAAACCTAGCCCATCGCATCGACGGACATAAATTGGCTAGTTGTGATCGATCACCAGTGACTTCGCGGTTTGGCTCACATCTAATGGAAACACCGCCTGAGCGATTGGCGGGTTCACCGCCTTATTCATGACAGGAATACCGGGTGAATCACAGCACTTATTTCACGCATTAGGCTCCTGTAGGTGAGTCGTATGTCACCTTTACCAGCACACCGGCTTCTGCGACTGATGTCTGGATAAGAGCAGGGGAGACCAGTCGATGATTTGCTCATAAGGAATGATGACTCACTTCGACCTTGGGCTGGGATCCGAACGGCGAAAACATTTGCTTGGAGACCCAGTGGCGTTCTTATTCATTCATACTCTTCCCATTTAGCAGTTTTGAACACAGCCTCTCCAACAGTAATTTTTTCAGTGTGGTCCATCTGCCACCATGGCTGGTGGGCGTCGTATCCACCTCTGGCGAGTGTTGTGTCGGAAGTTAATGCTCACGAGCAATAGATGAACATCACCGCACAAGCGTAAGAACCAACCGCCGCTATAATTACAGAAACTTACGTCACGTTGGCCGTCCCGATGAGTGTTCAGATCACCAGCCACCACTACAATGTCCGTATCCCTTTCATAGAGAACTGACTGGTTCCACGGGTCATCGCTACATTCTGTGGTTGCGTAGACAGCAAAGACCAACAGGCACACATTGTCTCCACGCTTGGAACCTTGAATGAACCAGCCAATCTGACTGCACATATTCGACTATTGATTGGAAAACAGTCGAGCAGAGCAGCTTCAGCTGGGGGCCCAGAGCAATCTCAACACCAGCCTGACAGGAATATGAAGCTGCATTATATCTGGGTAAAAGCAATGAGAGAGTACCGCAAGTGGCACGTGAAGAGGATGTTAGTGAGCACAAAGCTGGAGTTTTGTTGGCCGGTTTCCGGTAAACAGTAGAGGTCGAGCTAGAGATTCTTTAGTGTTTGGGTCAATGCTGCATCTTGGCCGATTTAGAATTGGAATTGGATTATAGGGAGAACAGGGAAGCCTGAGCAGTTGCATCCTCACATATATCCACGCATCCTGATGCGGCAGGAATGACGCCTGTGTTTCTCCTCTGCGTGAACAGGGTGCTATCAGTTACCCAGGTCTAGACATGAGGATTATTAGTGTACTCTCAAAGTTGTGAGTTTTAAAACCTGTCTAATACTTGTGGGAGTTTGTACTGAGCTGCACAGTTTTTAAGGAATAGGGATCCACTCTCACTCCAACGCCTGATTTGTTGTACCAGGAGGCTAAATTTGTATGGCCTCTTGCCGTTGTCTAATCTGGTATGACTGACTGAAGATTTAAAAATCACCACCCATCTTTGCTCAATAGACCGTTGAGGCACACAAACCATCGCAGCATGTTAGGATCCAGTTTCGTCTAGATGGCGATCGTTGAAGATCTGAGGTTATATGAGCTCTTCGAATGAGACGTCCACTTCTCGCTGTCCAAGAAACAGAAACCACGAGGAACTCCTTTTTAACACCAATGATGCCATGGGTCCACGATGACCATCATAACTTTGTTATTACTTGTACCAGTTTCTATAGCCTCGCACCATCATTTACAGTGCAGCTACCAATATGAGTCACCTGGTCAACTATTTCCAGTTGCTCATTGTTCAAAGCCAAAGGACTAACACGTTGCTATTTGTCATGTAACCTTACTACACTTCAAGTGCACGTGTGCAAAAATAGGCCACCCGGGCTGCTCCAGATTAACTGCGCCTTTTCACTGTGCTCTAGCCACAAAGCCACCTGGATCGGTGAGTTCTACGGACATGCCTCTGGCAAGTCGCCGCATATCATATTGCGACTAAGTGTTGGAATACAGAACACATAAATGTTACAGCCTTTATGACAGCTCCTTTTGGGCTGAGTAAATCCGACGGAACGGTATGTCCGCTTGCGTCTAATACACCCCCAAAATTGTGTGCCATGATTATGGTCGGCTTGCTTGTAAGCTTCAAAGTATGACTAGCTGATAGGTGACTTGTCCGTTTTAGCTGAGTAAAATCCGACGCATCATGAAGCGATGTTGCCCGCGTCCAGATCCAAATGAGAAGTAACTTCTTAATCTACCCATTACCATCCAAATTGTCATTAAAATTTTATGGATCGTCCTTTTTCAAACTTTTTTTCAAGTGTTTTCCTAACATCTACCAAGGCGTCCTTGGCTTCTGCTATGCTATAGCTGTAGCTTGTTTCTTGGGATTTTACATTTTGGCTGCTGTCAGCTCACTGCAAGTTGCTACTTTTGTTAGCCGCTCGCTAACCACAGCTATGTACATTCAGCCAAATTTCGCATCAACTCGAAGTATCTGTTGACGCGCCATTTAATCTAATTTCCCGTGCGTATTGTTATCTGTTGGTTGCTCCATACCAATAGGTATTCCTTACTAGTGAGTAGTAGGTGGTTTGTTGTGTTTTCGAGCATATTCGTTGCAGCCAGACTAAGTCAAACAGCCACAACGCATCTAGGAAAGCGCTAGACGGCCGTTTCGTCCCATTGGGACTCGTCATTGCGCACCCGCCGAATCCTGTCGGGTTCGAATCAATAACCTTACTCTTACCAGCTAGCGACGAATGCCACTGAGCCATGGGTGACGGTGACAGACCGCCATGGTTGTTATTTAACTGCGATGTAGCATGGCTCATCCTCAACTGGTCTGCATCTTATGAGCGTGCAGCGGACAGGACTAGCCCCCAGAGGTACGACTTTTTTGAAAGCCGCTACCAATCGAGGTGACATGTAAGCTGCTAAGGTATTCTTTGGTAATTGTTGGCAGGAATGTGTTGTTGCTAAATTTTCTATTCTCTTATAATACAGTCCATCATGATGAGCTTACGGCGTTTAGCGGGATTAATTCGATCAGTTCCATTTATTATCGCTGCTCCGTTCACAGCGATTTTCCTACCGTCCATATGGGGGTAACCTCCTAGTGCACCGACTGCCTTAGCACTATTTTGCTCTTTATTCTGCTCTTCATTTTTCGCTTGCATCCGTCTGTTGTCCTGTTTGATGGTAGTATTTTTTATCGCAAAACTCCTTGGAGCACTTACTACGCACGTATATTTGCTTCCTCCACTCTTTAGGAAAACGATAACTCCTCGCCACATCATGTTGGGCGTTCGTAATGATGCCGAACTAAATGAGCTACTGAAGCATGTCCACATCAGCCACGGCGGTGTACTGCCATGCATCCATCCTACGCTTCTGAAGCGCAAGGGTGGCTTGATAGGTTCACCGGGATCTGTGGGACCAGGCTTGCCCAATGCTGTGTCTGCCAGACAGGCATCTTCTGTTGTCACCTCTGGCATGGTCGGCAGTTCTTAGACGGAAATCCATTCTGCTCCAAACGAATCACGTCTATGGATTTACTGGATTTGTCGGTAACTGTTCTTTCCGACATGTGCAAAGACCTCTTTAGTCAGTGTACATTTCCATAACTTGTCACTTCCGGGGTATACCAATTCTGCTGCATGCTGTTTTGGTGCACCTACACACCACTTTACCCACATTTACCTTATTCCGTATCCTCGTGTTCGCTTGCTTCACACTGTTCCACTTGATTAGTTTGCATTTAACCTGGTTTGATTGATGCTTGTTCCTTCCATTCGATTTTTGTACAATTCAGGGAGTTCATGCATAGCGTGTTTTTAAATTTCTACGTTGTACGCGATCCACACCGACTCTGGTTTTGTCCAGTTACTCGATTTAATCTAGCTTCATTATCCGTCCAATTATTTCGATATTGTTGACATTGTTTCCACTCTGTTCGTATCCGTTTTGCCGTGCATCCATCATTATCTTACTGCCGTTTGTACTACCAGTTGGCACAGTGTTCCTATATATTGGCTACCAATATTCGCCTTCATTGTTTGCTTTGGTTGGGAATGCGTTGCAGAGTCTGGACCTTTACGTGATGCCATAATTTACCGACTTCTGTAAGAGGCACTTCCAACTCACGTGTGTGGTTTGATGTTCACCTGTACCGCCTCGGCCTCGTTCTTTCGCTGCTCGTCACTCATTTTTCTCGTTTCGTGCAGTAAGCGATGTTCAGAGCACAGTGTGCTCCCGCTAATGCAACGGGATTGTGCAAGCAGTGGGCCATTGTGCAAGTCCTCCTCTTGATCATTGGCGTCGTTCACCTCCACCGAAGTCGATGACACGTTTTAGGCCGTCAACCTATCGGCCTCTGCGTATTTCCTGTGGGTATGTGGGCGAACCTATTTAGTTGTTCGATTATTGGATCAGTGCGGGCTATCATGACTCCACTAAACAGCATAGCTTTATTAGCTTTCTAAATAAAGCCATGCTGTTATCTATGCTATTAGCTTTCTAATAAAGCTACGCTGTTTGGTGAAGTCATGATAGCCCGCACTGATCCAATATTCGAACAACTAAATAGGTTCGCCCACATACCCACAGGAAATACGCAGAGGCCGATAGGTTGACGGCCTAAAACGTGTCATCGACTTCGGTGGAGGTGAACGACGCCAATGATCAAGAGGACTTGCACAATTTCGTTGCATTCCGCGCGAGCACACTGTGCTCTGAATATCGTTTACTCGTCTTGCTCCCTTTTCTTTGCACTAGGGATAGCCTGCACTGACCCAATAATCGAGCAGCTGAATAAATTCGCCCACATCCACAGGAAATACCTGAATGCCCGTAGAGTGACAGGGGACAACTGGATTGCCGCGTATCTGCTACATCAGTTACGGTCCAAGTGATCTAATTGGCCAAGGTTTAGTTTAGTGGGAATCGCGGTCCACATTGAGATGACGCATCGCAATCTATTCTCAAAACCAGTGCTCTACAACGACCCCCAATGCTAGGTAACATTTGTTTAGATCATGACAGACTACGCGTTTGTGGAGGCTGAATTTCCAATAGTCACCTAACTACACAGGTCCATGTGTAAAGTCAGAAGCCCATAAATTACGCGAATACAGATGAGAAGATAGGGGGATACTCAGTCACCGCTTTTTATGAAGGCAATTGAGGTTTACGATTAAGAAAAGTGTTCGCAGTGGCACCCGCTTGTTACACAATTCGGTTGCATTAAAATGACTGCAATGTAGTCTGAACATCGTCTAGTCGCCTTACTCCTCATTTTTTGCAAGCGAATTGCTGATTTTCTGCTTATAATCCAATGTTTTCAAGGGAGCTTGCAAAACGTCCGATTTAAAGTGAAAATAGTGGATATCTCCGGGGCTCCGGGCGGAGTCCCTCAAGCAAGCCGTCGAAGCACAACCACCACCACGCGTTCGATTGCCAACCAATGCAATCGTATGCCTGTGCACAAAGCACTCAGCATCGGGTGCTGGAACGTGCGCACACTACTGGACCGGAACTCCAGTGAGCGCCCCGAGCGAAGCACTGCACTGGTCGCGATGGAACTGGTGCGCTACAACATCGATGTTACCGCACTCAATGAGACTCGGCTCGCTGAGCAAGGAAAGTTGCATGAAGCAGGTGCTAGTTATACGTTCTACTGGGTAGGAAATCCCGCTGCACTATGTGAACATGGAGTCGGATTTGCAATATTCGATCGCCTAAATGCCCAGCTGGTGGGTTAACTAACTGGCACCAGCGCGCAACTATGACTGTTCGAAAGAGGTATGTTTACCACTTTTATAGGCACGTACTGTCCGACCATGTGTTATCCTGATGACACGCGTGATCAATTCCACACTCAGCTATCCTCTGTGATACCGTCTGTGCCGAGGAGCGACCGACTATTTCTGCTGGGTGATTTCAACGGATTCTGAAGGTGCTAATGCGATCCATTCTTTCTTTTACACCAAAGGGTGAATCCTCAATTTTTGCCATCTTTGTTGATAGGATAAGCCACGAAGTGTAGGAATCAAGCGAGTGACCAGGTGCTACACCTTTGGTTTCTTCATCTCGCCCTTCGTGCTGGGGCAGTAGGCTGGTGCACCGTATTCAGCGGGCACATCAATGCGACATACAGCCTGATAGCAGTTTCCTCTAACGAAACATAGAATGTCCGTTTCAGGGGCCAAAGCATCTGGAGGCTGGAACAATATACATTGCGACTATTGTCCACAGATTTTTAATCCCACCGAGAGCTTTTACTGTTGTAACTGGATATAACCATCGATCACCGATACTGTACGCTCTCAAGTGCTCTTGCCTATGTTGATTAGTTCGGATTTATCCGGGTTCGACGGCAGGTAGTTAGATGGTGCCCATGAGGATATTGCGTCGATATCAAGTTGTAGTAAACACTGATATACTGGTGACGAAATTTCTCTCTAACACTTTAAATCATCGACGAAAAACACGCAAATGGATTTTAAATGTCCTGGCAGATCATTTATATAAAATAAAAACTGTTGACAAATTACTGTGCCCGGTGACACATCACTATAGGCAGTAATCTATCGCATTCGTTGGTCACTAACCTGAACGCATCACTCGTTCATACAAGGAGGACTGAATTCATCTCTACAAACTGCCAACCACAACGTAACCCCCAAGTTTTGATAGTAGGATGTGATTCACTTTATCAAATGCTTTGATGAAGTCTATCAGCAAGGCATAAAAGTTTTTTCATACGTTGACTGCTTCAATCCAGATGTGCCGTGAAGTTAGCAGGTTAGTGGTACACGACCGTCCCTGCAGTTAACTATGCTGGACTGCCGTGAATACACTGTGATTCTGCAAATTGAAGCAGGGCACTTTTTACAGTTGATGTTGGATAAATCAGCCCATAGTCTTCCATATTGCTTCTCTCGTCACTTAGGGAACGCTCATACGATTGCTTGCTTCCAATCTCGTGGGACGGTCCGTAGTGCCAAAGAGGTATTAAACAATTCTGCTAGTGTTAGTGCAGTGATAGGTACCACTATGTTAAGACGTAAGCCATCCGGTCCTGGCAGTGTGGAACAGTTTTGATTCGGTAGCAGGTTCATAACATCATCTACTGAGCATGCTACGGTATCCAGTTTGGCATTAATCGAATCATAATCAGGTGCTGGAGTGGTTGCTTCGAAAACTGACTCGACATGAGAAGCGAGTGCCAAAGCCCGGTGTGCGTCGGCGATCAACAGCTCACCGAATACATTTTTCAAAGTAAGTAATCCCTCAGGTGACCTAAGCCTGCATTTAAGACAAGCAAGCATCTTCTTGGGCGCTTCCTTTGCAATTGTTGACAAACGTGTCTCGCAAGCTGAACGCTTCCGTAATTTCATAGCGTTACAGTGTTTCCGTTTCGTTTTATAAGCCGCATACTTCTCTGCGCTATCAGTGTGCCTGAAGCGCCTCCACTATTTCGCGCAACGCTTCGGTGGTACAGCATATTCCCTATCAAGCCATGATAGCCCCTTCATAGACTTAAGTGGTGTACTGGATTTGCGCTGGTCACAGTTTTGTTTCAGCATCTCAACACGCCTCTACCATCATTCCGAGGCAGCGACCAACCCATGCGTTCAGCAGTAGACAGCAATCGATCCCAGTTGCTTTTCCAAATGTCACGACTGGATAGGGATAAACTTCTTAAAGACGGTACACGCAGCAGGGCTGGAATAGTGGCGTGGTCACTGGACCCAATGGGTTCACACACTTACGGATTCAAGTGGCTGCTCGCCGTTGGCAAGAAGATCAAGACAACTTGCCAATTGGCCAGGAACTTGTCTTCTTGGTTGTCGGATGTGTTTCACAGCACTCACCTCTGTCATCTTGTTAACAAAAGTGGATTCAAGAATGTGTAGGACTAGTAAATACTAGTCCGAGACAGTGCGCTTGATTGAGTGCGGATATCAGAAGGTAATTGAAGTCGGGCACAGCGGACTATATTCAATGAGCTAGTAAGGACGTGGATGGATGGAGCGAGACAGGAGCAAACGTTAACACGACAACTTACAGCGCAACCGAGTGTCGATCCGGATGTAAGGAATGCTAAAACAAGAATAACTAATGTGCAGTTGGTCAGCAATGAGATTGTACACAAAAGTAATTATTTTTTAGGCGCTACAGAGCTCCCCCTAGAAGGCTGAACATAAGAATCCTCCGATTTCGAGAATGATGAACGAATCAAGGTCCGGAGGCAAATCATGCCAAATGACAATGAGTGAGCGTTTATTTCAAATAGTGATTCGTCGGAAATCGGAGTCCGCTGTGCCGTCTTTTATTTATTATTTATTGATTGCAGGACAAGATGCATTTCGGCGAGCCATTGAAGCGGGCTTGTCAGACTTCAACAAATTCGCTGGTTCAGATTGAAGGCCGACAAGACGTCAACCTCTGCTGCTGACAAACGGGGCGCTTGGGAGTGATCTCTACCCCGCCCCACGGCGAAACAGCCCTCGTCCCACGAAGAAACGACCTGCGTTCGCTTCCCGCTCCTCGTTGACTTCGGTGATCCTCGAAACGTTGCTCCTGTGGGCCAGTCGATCCTAGTAGAGGGTTATGGCATATAAAGACGAGAAAGCAGAAAAATGCGCAGGACACGTCATAAAGAACGAACGAGTGGCTTGCGTTCAAAAGTTTTTAGATTTTTTGAATCTTTTTAAATGGTATTTCAGAAAGTTTTGATTTTTTGGCTTTGGAAACGTTAATCGACCAACAACGTGACAACTATGTACAATATTTACAAAGCTAAACGTGTTTCCACCGCACATATTCGGAAAAGCGGACGGGCTTACGAACCTCCCGACCACGGCGGCTGCTCCTGGAAGGCGACAGGCTCGGTTCAGAAGATGTCGGGATAACTGATGCGTGGTCTCGTTCGATGACACTAGGATGTTGAAAATTGATGCGGTTAGTTGTAACGTCGCACGAAGCATTGCTACACGATGGAGGCGAGGTAGTTTCCTCCATAAAGGCTGGTTTCAGAC